CAACTGCAGCTCTCTGTTGCAATAACTCTTATCTTCAGCAGCACAAACGCCTCACGGACATCGTTTATCTTCAGCAGCTACAGCAAACGTACAGTTTCTTAAACCAATGTGAATTTTGGTTTTTCTGGCAGTGCACATTGTTCTTCTTCTCTTTTAAGATGTTGAACCAAAACAATATAACACGATGAGATGTTTTATCTGTGGCCAGGTCATATTTTAATAATTTTGTTTTCGTGAATTTCCCGACTGCAGGATAATCAAATCATGACACAGCAAAGCTTAGGTGCAGCCGAACGATGACGATGCACACACACTCACCGTGGACACAGTTGCTGACATTTGAGAAGGAAAAGTACTGTATGTGTGTGTGTGTGAGTGAGTGAGTGAGCGTTGCTCCTGAACAGCTTCCCGCTGACGAGATTAGTGACCAGCACACCTGCAACACAGCTGTATACACACACACACACACACACTCCTTGCCTCCATATGTCAGGCTCTTTGACCCAAAATACACACAGCCCACACGCCAGAGTTTCCACTTCATACTGACTCTCAATCACAGGTGTGTGTGTGTGTGTTTCTGTGTGTGTTTCTGTGGGAAGGCCTTGGTTCCCCCGGTGTAGAGTCTTTTCTGTCTTTATGACAATCAATTACACTAAGCCCCTGAGTATTTCTGCAGCGCCACCATCAGGTCAGAGTCGCAACTAGAGCATCAGGTTCCTGTTGTCTCTGCGGTTTTAATCTGATAATCAGACAGGAAGCAGAGAGGTGCACGGCGGGGATCAGACTCGGGACGCTGTGGTCTTATGGTACGTGTTCTAACCGCTGCCTCCGGATGATCCAGATGTGCCTCACTTTTAAACTTTCTTATCGTCGCCGGATCCTCCGTCAGGGACGTAGTGACTGTGGTTTGTAATGAGTGACTGTGTTGTCCTTTTCCTTTGTGAGAAACCACCAGTCTGTTTTTAGAAAGCCCTTCAGTCCCGTCACTTGTCCGCTTTAAAGACACACGTGTTGATCATATTCCAGCTCTATTTTTTACATGTGTGTGAAACCCTTTGTCCACACATCACACATACTGTACATTTGTCCTGAACCCATTTGAGTCAAACCACTGCCAAACAAAGAACAGGAAGAAAACAATTACTGCTACAGCAGGGTCAGAAACTTGTCGAGGCTTGAGGCAAATTACCTTAAAAGTATCTGATATTTCCCATCAACGTTTTCTGAAAAAAGTTTTTTTTTTTGCCCCATCTTAAATACATGTTTTTTGTGAGTTTTAAAGTATTATTTGTGAGTGGAAAATGTTGGGCTAAGCTACCGTAGCACGTACATCCAGGTAAGCTAGTTTAGCCGCAAGATCATCAAGGTATTAAATATAAAGTAGGACAGTTTCACCAACAGTAAATGAAATAGATACGGGTCAAAAATAGCTCAAAGTTAAACCAAAAGATAATCAAAGATTTGCACATTAGTAGTTAGCTGCTAACTAAACACAGCCAATGGATAAAAAGATATAAACTTCAGCACAAATAACTCTGTCATTTTCTAAAATTACACTTGTGTTTAGTTCTGACTCCGACCGCCTGCTAATCTACAGTAACTACAAATTAACATTTTTATGTGTAGTTTAAAGAGTAAAAGTCGATACGAGTTACTGAGTCGTCTGCATAAAGAGTGAAGTTGACCCAGGATTGGCTGCAATCAAAAAACCTTTTAATCCTCCCTCAGCTGACTCCAGAGAAAACGTCTCTTATTCAGAATTCCACAGAGAGGAAAATCCAGTGCCCTGTGATCCACACAGAAACCAGATCCAGCTTGTTTTTAATGTGGCGATGTAAACTGAGAGCCCGAGTGCTACCCGCCATGCAAATCCACAGGTGGGTCCAGTTTAGAGCAAGCTTGTGGTGAAACTGTTGAGTAACAAAAAAAAAAAGGCCCCAAAATTACAAGCAGAGCATCCTCAGAGAGGAAATATGTTTAGATGTAAACTTCACTACAGAAGAAGGTTTTCAGATGATCTTGCTCTCAGCCGGGACATGGAGTTTGAAAACGGTTTTTCCTTTTACCTAATGAACAAACCGTATAATTATATACAAGAGTCTTTTCATTAAAAAATGAAAAGAAATCCCAGCAGCACTGATGTTTTTCACTAGTGCGTTACAACACAAGTCTTCATCCATCCAACAGGCTGTGTGTAGCAACGGTTAAAGCTGTCTCACTGTTCAGATGGTTAATAAAACATCTGACTCAAGAGGAGGATCTCTAATCTAATCTAATGCATTTCACCATAATCTAATTTAGAAAATGTATACTCTATAGAATGTATACACCGATCCCTGAGGAACAATTTGCACGCCCACACACACACACTCTCTCACACACATACACACATCTCCGGGCAGCGAGCTTTAATAATAGGCTAACTCTGATCGATGGCTTTAATTTAAAAATCAAAGAAGACACACTGCAGCAAGTCCAATCACTCAGTGTGTGTGTGTGTGTGTAGATACACCTGTGGGCAAATGTGGACATAATGTGGAGTCGGTCACTGGCATCCAGTTGGCGACTGCAGCAGGAAGTAGTGACATCATTTGACCCCGCCCACCTGTCAGTCAGTGCATTTGACACATCGTTATACAGTGATGAGCATTACATATCACATGGTTATCAAAGACAACACACATGTAGCCGTTTGCCTTTGTTTTATGTCCCGATGCTAAGCTAAGCTAAGCTAAGCTAAGTGGGTTCCGTCGGATGCTTGGAGTCACATGTTCATGTCTTTGTTCGCTTCTTGTGGTATTGGATATCAAACTAATGTCATGTATATGGTTCTATAAACAGCAGCAATGAGTGTGTGTGTGTGTGTGTGTGTGTATATGTGTTCGTAAATGCGTGCATACAAGGGTGACAGAATGATTGCATGCATGTGTGCGTGTGTGTAAGACTATCTGCTTGTTATGCAGGGTATCATTACATCCATATGGTCATCCCTCACACACACACACACACACACATGGGTACACATTGGATGCGTTGCTTCTGTTTAGATTTTTCGACCAATCAGATTGTGTTGTCAGTTGTAGACAACAATCAGTCCAACTTTCCGTCTCTGACATTTCTTTTTCTGCGGCTAACGTCGTTTCTGAAGCTGCTGATTTTGTCCTTGTGGACTGAACTCTGGGCAGTAGCTTTTCTTAAGGATGGAAAAATAATATAAATATTAAAAAAAAAAAAACCCTGAAAAAAATATACTTTAAAACTGGCAATATTGTGGCACATAAATATTGTCATGAATGTGATTTAATTGGCTACAAAGTGTTTTTATGGCTAACATAAAGTTAGAAGGTATTTTCAGATATGACGGTAAATAATATTTGATTTCCACACACACATGTTAGACGCATCACAGTGTGTCTTTGTGAACGGATTGACAAGAAATATCAGCATAAACATAAATCGTTATGATGACTAACGTAAAATATATAAATATATGATATAAATTATTTGACTCTCTCAGACTCTGGTCTGTTAGCATTAATGGGATTTTCATAGCTCAAGTTTATGCTGAATTCAGAGCAGGTCACCTTTTTGGGTTAGACTTTGCGATTCTTCCCCATTCTCCAGAAACAAGAAGAATATTGTTAATTCATTTTATTTATTTTGAAAAATAAAACATCCAAAACAGTGTAATGTTCTGTTCAAAGGTTTTTTTAAAGCCCTAAAAATATCTGTAAACTCCTCCCTAAATATTGTTTTTTTTTTTTTTAAACCTTGGCTTCACTTTAATGAAAAGGAAATCCTACCAGAACAGATCGACTTGATTTGGATTTTTAAATACCCTGTAGCCTTCAGCATGTTCATGTGAATCTATTTATCCATCCCAGCAGTGGCAGACAGCGCCCTCTTTAACCTCTCTCCTTATTCACACCCACCCTCACCCACACACACACACACACACACACACCTCCCCTTCCTCACCAGCGAGGCTAAATGTGTTCTGAGTTGACGTAGCAGCTCCTGTGGGAGAATCCAACAGTACATCATGTAAGTGCAACATTGAGGTGTGTGTGTTCGGTGTGTGTGTGTGTTCGGTGTGTGTCCTCACTGCTTTCAGTTTGACCTGGGCATTCGAGACAGAGTCTCCATGTTCTCAGTCCTTTCAGGACACTCTTGTGGATCCATTACATAAACCCCAGTGTTTGGCGTCCCGTGTGACCTCATCATTATAATCATCTCATAAATAACGTTCTTCATCATCATCATCTTTAACAGTGTCATTACATCATCTTGGAAATTCCGCTGATCACTTATCTGATGTAGCAGATGTTCGTGTTTCTGGGAAAACTCAGTCCAAAGCTGGGGTACGTAGGTGACGCGTGTCTGTGGTGTTTGAAAAGCGACTGACAGAGTCTGTCGTTGGTATCAGAACTCAGAGGACGGAGTGGAAATGGAAATTTCAGCATTGTTTACATGTGACTTTGGAAGAATTCTGAGACTGTTTTTCTTTAGAAGCGTGATATCACGTTAAAAATATTCAAACATAAACAAATAAGAAAAAAATGGGACGAGAAAAGAAATCAGTCGATTTTGTAGGTTTTAAAAATTCCTCATTCAAGATCATTATGTGGTGTTGCAACCCAAGAGTGGGACTAGATCTGTTGAGTCATGGGCCTTTGTCAAAGCAAAGAAATGTTGGGAAGAAAATCTGTAGCTTTTCTCCCATTCCCACTCTTAAACAGCAGGTGGAGATAATGCCCCTCCAAAGCGAGTTGACGTCTGACAATCAACATCAGAGAAGAAGACGTGCAAACTCTGTTTACAGAATGCTATGACATGAGTCAGACAATATAAAATATGGATCTATATATATGCTTACATATATATATGGAACACATCTATTATCTTTGAATATAAAAATGTGAAAAGCTGCACTGTTTTCCACTCAGAGTGAGAATCTCTTCCTGCTGCATCCTTCATGTTTGTCTGTTTGTTTGCAGGTGAAACATAACGACCTTATACAGGCGATGAATCATCCAACAGCAGGACGTATTTCTGTACCAGGTATAGAGATGCACACACACACACACACACACACACAGACAGATATGACGTGGTGTGTAGGAGTCTGCCTGCCACACTGTATTTGCATATTTTTTTAACAACTGGCATAATTGTGTTCACTTTCACAAACAAAAGTCCATTTGGAAAAGTGAAACTTTTTACCTTAAGGACACAGAATGGAGGACTATCAGTGCACTACACACGTTTGAACTCAGGAAAGACTCAATTCCTGAGCGTTGTATTTTTATCATTAGGTATAAGGTGTATCAGTGCACTACACACGTTTGAGCGTTGTATTTTTATCATTAGGTATTATTTCTCTTCACATATTATTTCATTAGATATTGTGACGGTGAAGGGTTAACAAAATGCATTTTTCTGGTATAAAAAGTTCATTTCAGAGCGTGAAGTCGATGTAAAAATTTATCAAGTTACTCTTCTGTTAAATGTAATTAATGTCTTTTTCTTTCCGACCAAATGAGGGTCGGCCTCAGAGATGTAAAAGTTTCTGTCGTGCACACACTTTCTGTTCTTTATCCTGAGTTTGTTTGTGTGTGCGTGTGTGTGTGTGCCCCTGAGTTTGTTTGTGTGTGTGTGTGTGTGCGTGCGTGTCACCTGTCACGTCACACTCACTTATTCAGTTCACAGTGTTCCACATAATTGGGAACAAACACTTTTTTGTGCAGAAGACTCTTTGTCCTTTTCTCATTTTTTTTCCACCTCACTACTTCAGAGATAAACATTTTTCTTTTTCTTTCTGGAACGTTCAGTCTTCTCTCTGAGCCCCAGGTACACATGTGCACGTGTTTGAAGCAGCAGATGTGTTACAGACTCTTTTATTGTGCCTCAGGCCATTATGGTTGATGGTGGTGGTCGTGTCTGAAGACTTTCAGGAGGTTGGTTTGGAGCTAACCAACCACCAGGCTGTGTTTCCCCACAGGTCGTCTCACTGAACCACTCCTTCTTAGTGACATTTTTGTCTAAAATGATGTTCAGGATTAATAAGATTAAAGCTGTGGTAACACTGACTGTTAGCCTTCTAGTTTTAGGTTAAGATAATCTGCCACCGAGGCCTCGGCTTGGTGCAGGTCAAAGGTTAAACATTTTAACACAATCAGCTGCTAGTTGTACCAACTGTGAGGAAGTTTTTGTTTATTTTTTACGGCAACAGTTTTGCCCCCTACTGGCCAGCTGCTGGCATGCAGGCTATGGTCCTTTTTTTTCTATCTTTGTTCTTGGTCACATTAAAGATTGATTTTTTTATTTTTTTTATCTCTAAGTTGGTTGTTAATTTGGTTTCGCTGTAATCCTGGTTTTGGTTTCAACGTGAGCAGATTATTTTCAGAAACAATCTGCTGTTTTTAAAAGAACAGCACTAATGAGCTGAACTCCCACTGTGTTTGGGTGTGTGTGTGTGTGTGTGTGTGTGTGTGTGTGTGTTTAGTTTCATGCATGACTGTGTTTGTGTTTGAACACTTCTCAAACTACTTTCAAGCCATTACTAACAAGTGTTCCCCCTCAGTGATGCTCAACAAGTGTGTGTTTATGTGTCAGAATAAATAATTAACAACAGGGTTATGTAATATCTCTGTTCATTCTCACACAGATGGAATGAAGCATCTGGAATGCTGTGCTGTTCAAGTGTAGTTTCCCTTCCTTCTCTTCTCTTCTTCTTCTCTTTCTCCTCTGGACGTTTTCCTTCTTAACTTCATTTCACTTTCATAAAACACTGAAGATGAGACGGAGAACACTTTAAATCCTAAGCAGTTGTTTTTTTGTTTTTTGTTTTTTTTTCAGGTCCTGCCGTGCGATACAGCAGCTTTTGCCCTAGCGAAGCCACGCCCCCTCCTCTGATTGGACAGCACACCACACAGGTGCTGCGGGAAACCTTGTCCTATAGTGATGATGTCATAACAGACCTGCTGGAGTCGGGGGCAGTGGCTCAAAATGAAGTCTCCTGATTTGATGGCAGATGGAGACGCACTGATAACTGAACACTTCCAGCCTGGACGATCGCAAGACGATAACACACTTTATAATTTAACATGAAAAATTGGTCATGTTGATCACCTGTATTTAGAATTTACTCTAAATAATGTCAGTAATCTACGAATAATACTACCTTCATGGAGAATATAGTAGTTTAAAGCAGACGTTTGGTCACAATCTGTTCCGTTCTCCAATCCTGGACATGACGTCTCATTCATTGAATGGATCCATTCTTGGTGCCAAGGATCAAGGTGTCAAGATGGACATCTCTCATTAACCTTCAATTATTCAACCTCTGTATAAAAACTGACAATTCTCAGACCACTTCCTGCCTATAACTGAAACATCAGAGCTTTTTTATTTTTCATTGTTTTCTCGGAACAACATCACTACTAACAAACAAAGTAAAACATCTGCACTAGGTTTTATTCAATCGTTTTATATGCATAATTTTACTTATTTTAAAATTGTTTTGGTTTAAATTTGTTTCATTAACACAAACTGACCACACGAGGCAGCAGTGAACCAGTGTCCCCATGATCATTCATTTCAGTTCTCTGAGGAGATTCTTGTACCATTTTGGCCCAAATCTTTGATTTATAATAAAAATCAATTTTTTAAATTAAAACCAAAATCATCAGCCGACAGAGTGGAAATACCTCAGTAAAGCTGCAGAAATGTGATCTACTGTTAAGTAAATTTTTGTAGTGCACTTCAAATGATTTCCTCTTACCTTTTTTCCACACACAGAACCTGGACAGAAGCGGCTGATCTGCCTCCTGTTCCTCCCGAGGTAATGTGTAGGAGCTGCTGAGCTTGGCCTGGACGTCGGGAGCAAACGGTTGACATGTTGATGAATTGAAAATGCGGTCCCTCGGTGGAGAGCAGATAAATTGTGTTGAATGCACTGTTTATTGAATTTGAGGAAATGTGACGCATCTGGACGGTGACAGAGTCTTCAGGAAGATACGGACTGACATGTTTACACCGGGGGAGGAGGAGAAGATGGAATGAGGAGGTTCAGGTGCCATTCATCACAAACCCCCAAGACTGACCCCCACCTCCTCACTCCAGAAGTGCAACCACGCTGCTCTGGGATCAGATGTCGTTTTCCCGAGAAAAGTGATGCTTCTTGCAGGATGTCGTGACGTAGAACCAAACCACCTTTGCTCCAATAAACATCTGCAGCTTCATGTGACACTGGAGAATGAAGGAAGGTTGAGCTGGAGGCTGAGGAGACGTCAGAGCTGAGGACCTGTTACTGCTTCATCAACAGGTCCACCAGTCCAAGGTAAGAAGAAGGTGAAGACATTCAGTGTGTTCATCGTTATCGTAGTTAAGCAAACAACTAATCGCTGCAACATATGAGGATTATTTTACCCGTTACCAACACAGGGAAGTTCAGATGGAAAGTGAAGCCCTCCATTACAGACATTCTACACCAGTATTTCATGGTTCTTCTCTGTCTTAGGGTGTTTTTTTCTGAAAGACAGATCGTCACTACTCCATACCAAAGTCCAAAGTAAATAAACTATATTTTCTAGCTCACAACACTGACACATGTGGTCAGTGATATCTAGCACTGAAGTCCATTTGAACTGGAAGGACTTGAACCCACAAAGGCTCTACATGACTAATTTGATGGAGCTGCTGATGAATGACTTCCATGTGATCTGATGTTAAATGAAAAAAACAAAAAACAAAACAGATTTTCCTTTGTGAACATCTGTGCTGTAAAGTGACAAAGAGTGAACACAAAAACAACTTTAATACAATAGAAATATTTAAGTGGGGAACACATTTTTAAGATCCCGGAAGATGCTTCAATATTTCCCTCTTCTAAGGGAACAGTGTCAAAATATTTGAAATAACAGTAACTTTAGTCAGGTGTTAAAGTTTTAGTTGAAGTTCAGGGGGACGGACTGTCTGTCTGTCCCTCTGTGTCTGTCTCTCTTTTTTCATTTTCTACTTCTTCTCTCTCTCTCTCTGACTCTGTTGTCGTCTTGCTCGGACGCCCAGTTGGCTGCCTCTGAGCTGAACTCAACGTGTGTGAGAGAGAAATTCGGATGTACGTAACTCACCAGCTCTTTAAGTGTCCCTAATTCCCCAACATCTGGACTGTGTGTGTCTGTGTGTTTGTGTGCGTGTGTGCAGGAAGCTCAGGGCTCAGCCTAATGTCAAACACAGACAGCGTTATATGAGCGATTCAGGGACCAATAGAATGTAACGTTACACTGACAGCGAGGTCACAGCGAGGCTCTTATTCTGAAAGGGTGTAGTGTCCTCGCCGTGGGTGAAGATGTGAGGACGCTAACAATAACATACGTGAAATATATAAACCAAATGTCCAGAACATGAACTCTGTAGTGACATGAAAGCACATACAATTACCAAACATCAGAACTATGCTAACGACGGTGTGATTTAGTCACCATGGTTACCGACAACACTCCCTTTTGATCCTCTTTAATAACATGTGGCACAGGGCACATGAACACAGAGCAGTGAGCTTCAACCCACACCACCAGACGGAGGACCCTGTTATTTAAACCACAGTTTGGTTATAATTAGCTTACTACTAAAGCACTACCGTAGTGTGGCTATGTGAGCTAACAAGCTCTAGACTCTAGTCATCTCTTTCCTGTATTTCCTGTATGGGTTTTTCACTTTACTTTCATTCAGACAAATGTCCAAACATCCGGTTGGTGGCACAGGGGATGCTGGTGCCTTTTTTTTTTTTTTAGCTCCGTCTCTGTGTGTGAGCAGAAATATTGCGTAACATGTCAACAAATGTCACGCCACAGATCACAGATAACCTCAGGTCTGTTCTGGGAATTCTCAAAACCAAACTGACCACAACCTTTGATTTCCTGGCACAACGAGGATCAGTGGCACTGTTCCCACAAGAAAAGTGAACTGAAAGTTAGGCCTTAATGATAGTGTTATGATTATTTATAATGTTATAATCATAATTAAAATATGATTAAAAAAGTTAATTTGCTTTTTTTAATTATCAGGTAGCGTTTGTACAGTACTCACACATGCGCAGAAACCTGGAGCGGGGGACTCCCTCATATGATGTCCACAGGGAATCGCTTTGGAAAACACTTCCTGATGTGTTCCGGAGAGAAGGAAGGGGAAAGAGAGGGAGAGAGGGAGAGAGAGAGAGAGGTGTCGTGCAGCTGCAGCAGCTGGATTTCACATTAAAGCAGCCGCAATCCAGGACGCACTGATCTGCCTGCTGGTAGCCAATGAGATGACTGGTCCTCACCCAGAGTCCCATCAGACATATAATAGAGTAATTTGATTAAAAATGTGATAAAAATGTGGAGTATGTGAACAGCAGCAGTTTGGTCGATGACATTGTCGTAGTCAGTTGTTGCTCCTTGCCCCGGTCAGTGACTGGTCAACTTTCTCTCTTTGACTTTGGTTTGGAAAATTAAATTAAACGTGTTCTTAAGACACGCTAGCCTTTGGCTAATGCAGGTTGTTGAGGCCTCTGTCGAGCAGCTAGAGTCAGTTTTTGTTAGGAGTCCTTCTGAGGTCACCAAAGGTCAATGCCTCCAAATGACCATACTTTATTTCAAAGTTGTGACACATAAATAATATTCTCCATATGAGGTGCAGTGGTATGTCTTTACCTGTGTGGCGAATTGAATCAGGAAGCCGGAAGTGACAGGGGGCGCCAGTGGGTGAACTGACGCTCACGGCGTTTAAAGGGAAACAAAGAAGACACAGAGTACGGACCTGAGCCGGGTCATTCTTTTCTCACTCACAGACCATAAAGCTGTGAATTAATGTCGGTTGTTTCCTCGTCTCCTCTGACGTTCACAGCAACACACGCAGGAATGTTCACTTGTCGTCCGCCACGGCCCGCTGAGGCTCATTAAACCTTCGCTGACCTTGTCATGTGACGCTGCGTGGCCTGGATTCACCAAGGCTCACTGTAAAACAGAGTTTTCTCACCTCACCTGAACTTTGAACCAGCGATGGTTGAGGAGAGGAAACAGAAAGACTTTGGATCTGATTCAGTACCAGAACGCTCCTCAAACTGGAGACGGAATCAATAAAATCAGGTGTCAGACAGGAAGTACTGCTGCCTTTATCTATTTATTCAACTTAGACTTTTGTCGGCTGAGAAGTGAGAATTCAGGGGATCGAAACAACTCTTTCAGCTACTGCAGAGCTAGTGACCTGTCATTTCTTCATATTTACAAGCCAAATATGTCAAATGTTATTATGTCACAAAAACTAAATCATGTTTTTTTAAGTATTTAGATGTAAGAAACCGAAGCAACAGAATGAAAGATTTAAAAAATCTGTTTGGCTCCGTGTAAGGAGTCCATCAGAGATCTCTGTCATGGACTGATCTTTCTAGTGTTTCGTTACAATGAATTGTTCCCTTCATCCAATGCAGAAGATTTGTTTGAGTGTGAGTGCGAAAAGACAACCAATCACTTGACACCTGTTTAACTTGCTTCCACCAGCTGTGTCCCATTTTCGAGATCATCAGAACACACAGTGATTGGATCTACACCGGTTTCCAAAGGTTACGTCAACAGCTGCCGACTGGAGCCACTGAACTGTAAGTATCCAAAAAAAAAAGTACTTATTATCAGCCAACAGAGTTGTCATTCAGATTCAAAAACAATTTAGGAGATGGAAGTAATTCTGTTAGAAATGTTGACACAACTCACAGTAAAAAACACTGGTGTTTATCTGCCTTAGAGTCACTATTTGTTATTGATATTTTGTAGTTAGCAAGCAAGCTGCAAAGTCTTCTGGAGTGGATCACGCTGTCTATAAGAAGAAGCATTTTGAAAATATAAAATGCCTTCTTAACATTGTAGTGTTGCTCACCAACTATTAATGCCTCTGTGCCTGTGTTAGAGGAGCGTACAGGCAGCAGAGACCGACTCT